CCTGGAACTTGTTATGTAGACCAGGCTGGCCTCAAACTCCTAAATTCAACTGCTTCTGCTTCCCAAGTGCTTGTATTAAAGGCATGTACCAGCATGCCTTGCTTACATAATGATTTAGGACATTCATGAATTTAATTTGCACAGGGGTTGGTCTGTAGTTAAATGGCACATGTTGTTAGTAACTGTTAAGAGCATCATGAGGGCAGGGCACAGCAGCATATGCCTTTACTTTCAGCAGTATGGAGGCAGTCATGCATATTTCTGTGTTTGAGACCAGTTTGGTCTACCTAAGCAATTTCCAGGACAGCTGGGACTACAGAGTAAAACCCAGTCTCAGAAATGTAAAAAAGAAAGTATCATGAGAATAGATACTTTTTATCATTTAAGAATATTATACCTGTCTCCAAAGATAAATTTCCAGCTGATGGGAACAGATACAGACACTCACAGGCAAACATTAGAAGAAGCTTGGGAAATTCTGGGAAGAAGGGATTGTAGGAGCCAGAGAGGTCAAGGACACCACAAGAAAGCAGCTCACAGAACCAAACTAACCTGGGCTCATAGGTGCTCACAGAGATTGAACTGTCAACCAGAGTGCCTGCGTGGGACTGACCTCGGCCCTCTGTACATATGTTACAGTTGTGTAGCTTGTTTTTCATGTAGAACTCCTCACAGTGGCAGCAGGCGCTGTCTCTGTTGCCTGCCTTTGGAACCATTGCCCATACTAGGTTGCCTTGTCTGACATTAATAGGAGAGGAGGTGCCTTGTCTTACTACAGCTTATGTCCATGGGAGGCCTCCCCTTTTCTGAAGAGAAAGAGAGGAATGGAATGGGGAGGGAGGAGAGGGAAGAGAGAAACTGAGAGGAGGAGGGAGGGGAAACTGCAGACCAGATGTAAAATGGAAAACAAAGTAAATTTATTAGACTAACACTTCGAACACTTGAATATTAATGTTAGCAAATATTTGGAAGCTGTGTTTTTACATTTATTATCAAACAGAACTAATTTACTAACTTGGCTTTTTAAACTGTACATTTGAGCTGGGAGGTAGTGGCACACACAAATAATGCCAGTACTGTGGAGGCAGAAGGAGGCAGACCTATGAGTTTAAGGCCAGCGTGGTCTACAGAGCAAGTTCTAGGACATCCAAGTCTACACAGAGAAACCCTGTTTCCACCTACAAAAATAAATAAATAAATAAACCATTTTACAGAGAAACTTTAAAAATGTGTAATATAACAAATGTGAAACTTTAAACATATGTTTGAAATTAGTTAAACTCATTTTTGGTTGATATTGTTTTCCATGAAGTATTCAGAACAATTAAAAAAAAACTCATTACAGGGAAAGCAATTCTTTTTTCATGTTTAAATTCTATCTTTCTCTTATATAACCCACCCTCATCTTATAGTCAGTGTTCGCCATCCTAAAAAAAAGACGTGTATAAGTTGTTTTTTTTTTCTTTCTAAATTTTTTTAACTTACAGAGGAAGAAACTAGTCGTCCACCATTACTGTGTGTGTGTGTGTGTGTGTGTGTGTGTGTGTGTTCATGTCTGTTTGTGTGTAAGTGTGATGCTAGTATCTTTCCAATGTCTTGTCTTCCTCTTGTTACTGGAGGGAATACCTTGATATAAAGGTTAAGTTCCTCTCAGCTCTTAAAGAACTGAGAAGACACATGGTAGTCATGGTTAAAGTCCATAATTATTATAAATAAAAGTAAAAGCATAAAATATGCTTTATGGAACTGGAATGACCTGAACAAATGTGTGGCTGAAGAACCCCATTTTATGTGTCCACATGCTTTTTTATTACAAAAAGGCACGTTAAGTTTCTCTGAAAGGGCAGAAAGTTTGTTGTTTATGTGATTAATGATCTTTGCTGGAAGGGTTTTGTACAATCTTTGGAACAGTCAAAGGGATGCTATTTTTTTGGGGGGGGGTTACTATAATCTCCTTATGACTCATAGTGTCATACTCTATTTTCCTGCCTCATTTTTCAGTGTGCTATATTTCCAACATGAAATAGGAATCTTAAATACTAATCAAATTTCTAAGTAGATCTTTATTTATCAAGTTTTACCAATAGTTACACAGGTGAAATAAGTTCTTCAGAGTGATTTCTGTGTCCTTAATTCACATGAGTATGTTTTTCCTTTTAAGGTACATTATCTTTCTTCACTATGCTTCTTCTTTGTATATATAAAGTACATGCTTTTTACTCCCCTAATTTTTCAAAAGACACATGGCATATAGCCATCAGTGTCTTTGAAAATGTTCCCTTTCTTCAGGAAGCCCACCTTCCCCTTTCCCTCTACTGTGCTGTCTTAAATACCAACTTTTAAAAAGTTATGTTCTTCCTGTGGCAAACATTTATCATGATACTTTTTCATAAGCCAGACAAAATTTTGGATTCTTCTATGTCTGAGGAAGAAAAATCTACTCAAAGCCCCAGTTACCATTTCATAGCATTGCCCCCAGGTAGGAAATAAAGCCTCTCCAAAATGACAGTTGTGTGGTGGTACATTCCTGTATGGAATAAGAGTATGATGGAAACACTGAGCAGGCGGCTACTGGCTGTGACTGTGTTGTTGAATAGTATGCCCTAGTGCAAGAACGGAGACAGGTTATTGATATCGCCACCATGTAAATGGCCAGTTGTTATCTGTGTAGCTAAATATCTAGTCTTTTAAATCTTCAAGCCATCCAAAATAGCAATTTAGGGAGTAGCTAAATAAAGGGGCACATATTCTGTAGTGCAGTATACTGGTTCAAGATATAGGTGAAAGTAACTGGGTAACAGTAGCTTAAAGCCAAATAGAGAAGTCAGTGATTAATGTAATATGTGGGATACACAAATTTCCAGCCAAATAGAACAGTCAGTCATTAATGTAATAATTGGGATACATAAATTTCCAGCCTGTTACAGAGGAATAAACCTCATTCCACCAGAGATGTACATTATGATTTTTCCACATAAAACTTTAAAAGTATTATTATTCTTTCCACACTGTATTTTGATCATATTCATCACCACTTCCTCCCCCAACTCCTCTCAGATCCACTCCTACCCCTATACTCCCGCACAACTTCATAACCTGTCTTTTAAAATAACCAATGGGTTCTAATTTGGGCTGCCCATACACTCTGTATGTAGGGTCATTCCTTGAACATATTTGACCTACCAGGAGCCACATCACTTCTCTGTGATTTTCACAAGGTATAGGGTGTTGGGTTTCAGACCTAGGACAAGCAGCTGAGGTGCATATTTAGCATACCAAAGTGGACATGGCCTCTCAGGTCCTCCCAGCATCCCTTGGTCCCCATTTGCTGCAGGGTGTGTCTTACATACCCTCACTCTCTATCCTGAACTTTCCAGCCCAGGGGCAGGGGCTTCCCCACCCCCTTCAATATATATTCCGGACATTTTGGTGCCCTCTCTCTCTCTTCTCTCACTCTCCTCTCCTTCTACATCTATCTTCTTTTTCCTCTTTCTCTCTCTGCAAGTGCTTTTTACTCTCTCTTCCTCCCCCAGCATAGTGGCCAAGAACTGCTTCCAATAAACCTGCATTGATATACTTTAACTTGTCCTGCATTAGCTTGTATCACCTCAAGAAGTAGGGTTGCTTAAGAATGATGACAATCACAGAGAGTTGGAGCTTTCAGAGCTCCTACTTGACCTTTCTCTCCTATGTCATGACTCCTGAGGTCAGAAATGTAAGAGACAGTGACATGGGTCAAGTTCCATTAAAACCTGGACATGTGTGCTTTTGATTTCACTCCAATGCCTAAGATCACTGCCTGATAGACAACACAGTGAGTTCAAAGCCCATCTGGTCTACAAAGTGAGTTTAGGACAGCCAAGGCTACACAGAGAAAACCCTGTCTTGAAAAAGCACAAACCAACCAACCAACCAAAACAAAACAAAATAAAATAGAATTTACTTAAGAGTGAACTATTTCAGTCCTATGGTCTGAATTATAAAGTGAGGTCAAACCCACAGGGCGATGAGGGGTACCTATAAAAAATATAAGGCCAATTCATAATCAAACTTATTCAGGCCCAGTGGCAGATGGTAAAATGTTGACTTTCAACAGTGTTAGAGATCACCACAACTTTTCCAGAGACACATTGATATGGGCTTCACAATAGGGCAGTCACATGTGTGCATGCTGTGAAGAAAAATCTAGGAATCTCATGGGGTAAACCAGTGTGATCTTAGGTCTTAGGAACAGTCTCCAGCTTGAGTAAATAATGTCCTCTTCCTTCACGTATTTTGGATTCTTCTGTAGATAGTCAGCTCCTGTCTCACAAAAGGGATCATGGAAGCTGATGCACACCCCAGGCAGCAATGGTTTTTGTTTACAAAAAACAACACCAGCAAGTAAAGAGCTAATGGCATACACAAGAATGTCATTTCTAGACTGAACAGCAAATTAACCACAGATAAACAGGACTGCCATTTAGACAACACCTTTACTGAAGTTATTAATATGCAGTCTGCCTCAGGAACTGCCAAGAGGCTATTGGATTAACAAAAACCCTATATGTATGAATTTGGTATTGTAACTATGGGCGGATGGGCTTTACTAGGAAGATATTAAATTGATATACAAATTGAGTAGATGATGGGAAATGGATTCAAGGCATCTGTGACTTTAAATTACACACATTTATTTGCTGGCCTCCCTCTGTGTGCTGCTCAAGGGACAAACAACACCAGTAGCAGCACACAACCCATTTCTGACCTTGGAGAAAAAAGAATTTAAGCTAATGTGCAGCATTACTTCTTTGCTACAGACAAAAGCCAGCTTGAGGATATCTTTGAATAGACTAGGCAACTTCTTAAGAGTAAGTCCACATTTCCAACAAAACACCATTTATTTCCAAAAAAAAATATTTAACATAAATTTTGGCTTAGTAACTCAAACTACTGTATTAAAGCAGCCCCTTGACTACCCATAAAAGTAACACTGAAGAAGGAATACAAAGGCTTGGTTCCTACAATCCTTGTACCGGGGTCATTGCAACTGCTCTCCAGAAATAGTTGGGCTGAATGCTCTGCACAGCAACAATATTGACAATATCATCTTGTTGAGGCACATATCCAGAAGGAAGCTTAAGAGAATCCAAGGTGAAAAAGATGGTGTCTTCTAACACCCCAGTTCTTCCATCTACTCTGGTAATACAGACCTGTGATGAAAAATGGCAGCAATGAGTAGAGAAAATCTTAATCCATGGTCATAGACTGCACTTCTTCTCCCTGGCTCTAACCAGAAGATTCCTCCACACCACTGCAGAGTCCCGGCTTCCTTTATATATTAACAACATCTAGGGCTGTGGAAACATACCCCTGCCCAGATCCAACCTCACACGGGGATTAGCACCAGGACTTTGCTGCTCTCAGCAAATTTTGTTCTAAATACTACCCAAAATGGCTGTTAACTTCTAGTTAAGGCCAGCTGCTTAGAAAGAAACAAGTGAGAAAGGAATGTGATGTTGACTATCAACAACATACTGAGATTCCTTGATTGCATTAGAAGCACATTCCTTTTTCCTATGGTGCAAAATGAACACAAACCAACTTGTTTTCTGTTTTCACTACTCATATCATACCCACATATTCCTGAGGAGTTTAAATGACACTCCACTCATTTTTCTTAACATTTCCAAGAAACTTGGTCATTTTTGCTCTTGTTGTTCTTAGGACATTCTAAAGCCTCCCAGATAACCTATATAAAGTTCAGTTTTCATCACATGTACTACATTGTTCTCATAATTTCCTTTCAGAATTACAGTGTTTTTAATAAGAAAACAAGCTTATTATGCATTTAAGTTTCCTAACGCTTGTAGTATAATCCTGAGCAGCAAAAATTATGCCTGAATTAAAGATAAGCAGAAACAAAGGACAAATGCAGGACACACAAACTACCTTATTTACGTGACAGTGCTTCATGGGCTTCATCAAGATGGCTCTTCTGCTCTGTGTGTCTTCCTGCTCAGAAAACTCAATGTCTACCAGGTCACCATTATAAGGTTCAAAATCTGTTAACGGTCATGACAGAAAATCAAATTAGAAGAGCCTTTATCTGGGTGGAATATGACACTTTACCATTTACCGTGATATCGTACCTGATACCTTTTCTATTACATGCAGAATACATTTTGAACATTCAAAATCCTAGGGATAGAGGGTACAGATTTCATTGTTGTAACAAGGGACTCTGGTTCACCTCACAGTACCCACAGCCACCTCTCACTTATCTATGCATTCCTCTGGTCTCTGCAAGCACAGGCAACACACTCAGATAAATGCACACATGCACACAGGTAAAAACAGACAAAATTTTGTAAAAGGTGAGGGCCGGAAAGCAAGTTCTTCAGTTAAAGGTACTTGCTCTTCTTGTACAGTATATGGGTTCAGTGTTCAGCAGCCACAAGAGGCTATAGCTCCCTGTACTTCCATCTCTGGGCCTCTGGAGGCAGCAGGTGTGCAAAAGTGTCATATACAAACATGCAGGCAAAACTCTGTCTCTCTCTCTCTCTCTCTCTCTCTCTCTCTCTCTTTCTCTCTCTCTCTCTCTCTCACACACACACACACACACACACACACAAAACATTTAAAAAGATAAAAGAAAAAAATCTGGAACAGTGAAACAGTAAAATATCTGTCCAACGAATAGTAAAGAAATAATATATTCATTACTCAGTACAGGGCAAATCATGATGTTTCTTCCTTTCCTTCTTTTAGTCTCTTATTAAAGAGATTATAGGCTGTAGCTTAGTTAGCATGTACATGGACCTGGATTTGATTTCTAGCAACACACGGATGAGAATAATAATAATGAAGAACTGTTTGCCATTTTCACTGAGTTTCAGAGTATCCTTTAACGGCACTTATTCTGACAATTTTATATATGACTGGTTAAGACCTTTAAGACTGGCTTATAGTGCTAGCAAGCAGCAACACCTTTTTTAGACAATGTCTTTCTTACCCCAGAAAAGCCTGCTACCATGACTAACTCTGTTTCACAGAGGTAAACCTCTGGACCTATACCTTCGGTCCTATCTTCTATTTATAGCTCAGGGACCTGACTCCATCATTTCCTCCTGCTCTCTTCAGCACCTTTAGTCTTATCCTTTGCACTACAAACATGTCCAAGTCCTTTCCTTCCTGTTGGCAGTGACAGGCTAAGAAGCTGTCTTTGGAACTTAGCAATCACAGGGACCCTTGCTATGAAAACTGAGAATTTCTGAAGAAAACATGTCATAAAGTCCCAGACACCATCAAACAGTCATCATTGGAGAGTTCCTCAGATAACAACCAATATCAAGTTCAAGTTTTTACATCCAAGAAAGTAAACTAGAAAGCAGCTTTGTGTTACTGGGACAATGCTATTCTTTTTATTCAAGTAAAATGGCACCTGATTAATTTATAGTGGGTACAACTTATTTTTACTGCCATTCATCTTTCAAAGTCCAGCCTGGTATTTAGAAAGCTGAGGCAAGGAGATGGCATGAGTTTAACATTTTGAGACAAACGTAGGCACAATAGGAAGTCCCTGTCTCAAGGCACACATACACACAGGGGCTGGGGGGGCTTTAATAATAAAGATATCCAGTTTACATTTCAATAGGTTTATGTTTCATTAGATCTACATTTCATTATGCATCAAACTATTATTTTCTTTTTGTCGTGGTTCTACAACTTGATCATTAATGGTACAGACACAAAGTGGCAGGGTATGAAGGTCAGCCTGAACAGTGCATAGCCTAGTCAGCTTTCTCAAATTTTTTCTAGCATGATCGTGCTTACTTCTTTGTCCACTGTTTCTTGCATCAGTCCATTTTAATGGATTCACATGTTTGTCTCCCCCAATGATACAATGAGCTCTTTAGAAGCAACATGAACTCTTTAGAAGCAAGGCTTAATGAAGGCTTCCAAATTTTGTCCTCTGTCCCAATATCTAGAACTCTCCCTTAAACCAAATTAAAGACCGACAGTCTCCTTAAAAAAACACTTCATTGTTTTAAATATATATTTAATGTATAAATAAATTAATAAATTTTATTGCCATATTAATATATAACCTATTTAAATATAGATATAAAGCAATAAAATGTTATATCAGATATATACAAATAGAAATCAACACTTAATTCACATATACAAGGAAATGCACAGGCCTATTTCCCAGCCTTATTTTAAAGATTCTGGAATATTACAACATAGTACAGTTTTATTCATGTAATGGTGTTAGAATAAAAATTTAATACTCATATAAATCAAAAGTTGCACAAGGATTAGTGTGCCCAAACAAATGAAAATGTAACAGATTACAGTGTGAGATGTTCGTGTCCCTTGTTTCACACTGTTTTCAAATCCCAATGGGCCACTTCAAATAGTGAAATGCTGCTGGAAAGAGCCAAGTATAGGTTTAGGATTGTAGCTCAGTGATGAAGCCCTTGCCTAAAAAGTGCAGGGCCTGAGTCTAATCCATCTAAAGATCCAAGTATCTTGCAGTAGTAATTGAAACACAAAAATCCTCTCATTAAACATGTTCCAAATGTGACCCCGAAGATGATGCCCAAGCCCTACTGATAATATTTCAAATGAGTGAAACCCAATTTTAAATTTAAAAATGTGAGTTGTACCTTTACAAACAATGTCTAGAGAGAAGGACAAATCGTGATCAGTGCAGTCAGCATCACGCATTAGAGAGGTAAGACAACCAAGCAAAACTGTCTTGTGAGATTCTGATGGCTCATCACCATGGTCATCACAAAAAGCATCCACCTATGAAACAAACTAAATAAATATGTCATTGCAAACAAACCAAAGTAAAAAAAAAAAAAAATCTGAAATCGACCCTAAAATCAATGTTCAAATAATAGTTCAAATAATGATCATAGACAAGTGACATAAATTGGCATGTGCTGAGGAAATAATGCTTAAGCTACTTATCGCTCTTACTATAGTTTTAGAGCAGGTTAAGAGAACTGAGAAGAAAATACAGAGAGTTGCCACATACTCCCCCCTAGACCACCGTTAGCTTCTCCTATCTAGCATCTTGAATTGGTATGTGACATTGATTACAATTAATAAGCCAGTATCAATACTCTTTATAAACTCCATAGTTTATATAAGGGCTTAGGCCTTGTGCTGTAAAATGATAAATTTTAAAAATTTGTTCTAGGAGCATTATTTTCATGTCTGCCAGACATAACACAGTTAGTGTTATATGCAAAATTTAAGGTATAAGGCTTCTACTTATTAGTAATTAAAAATGAAAGGAGAGTAAAAGACAAAAATAGCTAATTCAGAGCTGGGCAGTATTGGAAATGGTGGTGGACTTTAGTCCCCAGACTCGGGGAGGCAGGGTCAGGGAGATCTTTGTGATTTTGAGGCCAGCCTGGTCTACAGGACAGCCAATGCTACACAGAGAAAACCAAAACAAAAAACCAAATCAAAACAAAACAAAAAAGTAAGCAAGCCAAGATGGGTGATGGTGGCACATGCCTTTAATCCCAGCACTTGGGAAGCAGACAGATCTCTGAGTTTCGAGGGCAGTCTGGTTTACAGAGCAAGTTCCAGAACAGCCAAGAGAAACCCTGTCTTGAAAAACCAAAGAGGAAAAAAAGCTAATTCAAAGTAAGTCACAGTACATGATAAAAGATTTAAAAAATAATTCCTGGAGTTCCAAAAAAAAGAGAAGAAAAGAAAGGAAAGAAAATTTAGATGAAGAATACTTTAAGAGTACAGAAAAGTTTTTCAGGAAGGGATTTTGACCTGGGTTGTGAAAGAAGAGATTCTTATCTGGTAAGTTAAGCTGGGATAAATGTTTGTCTATATGTGTGTTTGTATATCTACATGTGTTCATGTATGACAGTTATGGATCCAGAAAGGGGATCGTAAGACAGAAGGATGAGATCTTAGAGAAAAGGCAAAAGACAGGATAATAGAACACAAATGACATAAAAACAGAAAAGGGTATTATTGGAGGGGCAGAAGATAAGGGTCATTCAGGGGCACTAGGACAGCGGTGGGAAACAAGTTGGAACAAAGTATAATGATATGTAAGCATGAAAATGGCATAATGCAACCATTATTTTGTATGCTACCTTTAAAACTAATTTTAAAAATCTTCTTAGAGTTTGTGCATGAGTGTTTAGGCTGCGTGACTGTGTGAGCATCATTGTTCCTAAAATTTCTTCCCATGGAGGCAGGTGACCAACAACTACCCCTTCTCCTAAGGTCCTGAAGTTCACTCTTGGGAAGCAATGAGTTATTAGTTTCCTTACAGAGTACAGGTGAGGGGTTACTTAGGGGAGAGTGGGCACTCCATTCCCAGCCAACCGTACCTAGAAAGATTTACCCAGCAGGGATGAGGGTTTCCTGTAGCTGCACAGATGAAACCACCCAACCTCCAAATCAGTCTTGCCTGGCCAGCTGATAGAGAGCAGTTGGATATTTAGGTGGGAGTCAGGGTGGTGAGCAGGAAACAAGCCCAAGTGGGATGATATTTTGAAAGGGGGCACAGATGAATGCACCAAATAGAAGTTGCTTGGCTTGACATATGCGTGCCTGGTGCCTTCAGAGACCAAAGCAGAGACCAGAAGAGGGTATCAGTTTCCCAGGAACTGAAATTTCAGATGGTTGTAAGCAAATATGTGGACACTGGGAATCGAACCTGGGTCTTCTGCAAGAGCAACAAGTGTTCTTAACTGCTGAGCCATCTCTCCAGTCCCCAAACTAATTAGAAAGAAAGAATAATAATAATAATTATTATTATTACTATTATTATTATTATTATTATTATTATTATTATAACTATATCAGAAAAAAGGATAAAAGAAGAACTTGGGGTTGGAGTTGGGGGAAAAAGTAAGGGAGACAGCAATGAAACATAAAAGAAGGGTATATAAATGCTAAGATTCCAGACCAGAGCATCCGGGGAGACAAAAGAAAATAATTGGAAAGGCCATATAACACCTTAAATATGTCAGTCTCATCTGATCATGGAAGGTAAGTAGGGTCATGCCTAGTTCACGCTGGGATGGAAGAAAATAACCAAGGTCTGTAGGCTCTAAAAATCACAGTTAAATTAGACTTTATCTACAGTTTTTTTTAAGTATCTAATATTTTTATTTCTTAGAATTATAATCATTTTTATCTTATGCTTTGCTTTTCTCATTACAAAAATAACACAGTTCCATATATAAAATGTAGAAATGACGTGGGAAAACAAGAAAAATACCCATCATTCAGAAATCTAGTCCCTATACAATAATCATTGGCCATGTTCTTATAAAGTGACCAAGATAACATCTTGCCCTGATCTTACCCTGACTCCATTTTGTGTCTGCTCAAGCAATTTTTCATCCCTCATTCCCTGAACAGTCACATATACCTTGGCAACACATTAGAGCCAAACTACCTATTGAATGCCTAACCAAAATGAATACAATGAAGATCCCCGGACCTATTCCCGACAGTGATGTCATTGTGACTCTGTACCCCTGAGCTCTGTCACCAAGAGTTTGGTGTTTCAAGTACCTATTCTCCACTGTCAGCTAATAGAGCATTCCCATTTGACTTCATATGGGTTTTGGTCTGTGTCTTCCCTCGACTTGTTCCACATAATTTATCTATGGAGTCTTTTAAAGGAAAATGTAATATTACACATGTATAATAAATACATAACCAAATGAGAACAAACAAGTCAGTTTACTTTAACCTTTTAAAGGATAATGCCGCATCCCATGAAAAGAAAGTGCTGTAACTTCAGGGCTCCATTCCGTACAGTTTGGTATAGAATTTATAAATCTAATATGCTACCTAGTTGCCTAATATACATGGAGGATCAGCTATCAGGGGCAGAATTGCATGCTCAAAAGTTTCCAGTGAGAGCTCCCACAGCTTCTGGCCCATGGTAATAGCATGTGGTAGCCCTGGGCGTCATTGTTCCCTACCCTAGCTTAAGTCCTACTCTCCATCTGCTGTGGCTCTTGAAGCCTGCAGAGCCCCTGTGTGCCCTGGTAGGGAGTGACTGAAGGGAAGAGGAAAGAGAAGCAGTCCTGTTAGGAGGCCACCACGGAGGCCATGTGAGGCTGTCACAGTGAGCCATGGTCAGCAGTGTGGAGTCACAAGGAAGCCTATGTGACCTTTGTTAGCTTATAAACTTTGGCTGCCTTGCTCTTCTTACCAGGTCCTCTGAAACAGGAATATCAGACCCAACACTGCCCTACTCCTTACTCATCCCTCCCCCTCTAACCCCCAGCCTCAGGCTTCACCCAGAGCTGAAGCTGCTGTCTCCTTCCTGGGGCAACAGTTTGTGCTGCAGACTGGCCAGAATGCACCCGGCTGGACTTGTCCTGCCTCTTGAAGATTTCCCTGGGGCATGAAATAAACTGAAAAACAACTGAGGCGACTTGCACGAACTTGTACCTGAACTGACTTGTCCTTTGGGACATTCCCCCACCTCACTGCTTTATTCTATGATTTAAAGGGTCTGCGCAGTTCATCACCCCAGTGCTGTTTATTTTTCAATTTTTGTAAATACTCCTTTTGTTTCCTAATTTAGATGCATTTTATTTATTTATTCTTTTATACAATACATACCAACCGAAGCCTCCTTCCACTCTTCCCAGTCTCCCTTGCCTCTGCCCCTTTGTACCTAGTCTTATTGTAAATGACTATTGTTTGTTTGGTTGTTTGTTTGAGACAGGCTTCTCTGTCTAGCCCTGGCTGTCCGGGAAAAAACACACCCACACACACACACACACACACACACACACACACACACACACACACACGTTCTGTTCCTAGGAAAAGGCAAGTAAGGGTGACTGAATTCATGTTGAAATGTGACTGCCTAGAAGGAGAAAGTATTGGGTAAAATTTGTATGTGTTGGGGGAGCAGTGGCTAGGCGATATTTATGACTGTTCTTGTAGAAGTCAGAGGCCCACACTGTGAGCTTCTTCAATTGTTCTCTATCTTATTTTTTGAGAGAGGCTCTCTCACCAAACCAGAATGCCATGACTGGCTAGACTGGCTGGCCAGCAAGCCCCAGGAACTCTCCTGTGTCTGCTATTCCAGAACTGGGATGAAAGGTCATGCTGCTGCTTTCAAGTGGGCGCTGGCCCCTAGTCTGCATGCTTTTGAAGTACAGCAAGCAACATCAGAGAGTAAGTCATTCCCCTGGTGCTCCTCTCGCTCTCATGAAAGTTGATGGTGCTTTAGGAGGGTTTTAAAGAATCCATGGCTTTTTCATCCTCCAGATGTAGGTACAGGCGTAACATGTTGCAAATTTGTGCTGTTCCTGACTTAAGGGGCTTATTAATTAAATTTGGTTTGGCTGGGATAAATGCATCTCCAGCTGTCATTACTAATGTCGTGGTTATTTATTCATTTCAGTTTTATCCATAAAGGAAGTACCAGGCTCCCATCTCTCTACCACTACTGAGTAGTTATGTGGATGATTCATTGTGCCCTCTGACCTCTCAGTGCTGTCTTCAAACTAACAGACGCCCAGACTATATGAGGAAGCCTGGCTAGGTTTTCACTTTGTGTGTGTGTGTGGTTTTTTTTCAAGACTGGGTTTCTCTGTTTAGCCCAGGCTGTCCTGAAACTAGCTCTGTAGACCAGGATGGCCTTCAACTCACAGAGATCTGGCTACCTCTGTTTCCCACGTGGTGGGATTAAAAGCCTGGCTGGCTTTTCACTTCTTAGATGGCTAAAAATTTCAAATTTGACAATACTTCCACTCTTGGCAATCTTGTCAAATAGGGAGTTTCACATCCTACTGCTGCTGGTGTCGATTATAGTGTCACTATTTACATCAGTAATTACAGTAATAATAACAAATTAGTTTGCATATACAGATTAAAATGATAGTATCTGAACTGGCTAGATGCAGATTCTGTAAATCTAAACAGTTTTTAAATTGAGGAAATCCATGGTAAGTAAATTATACTTCAATAAAGCTATTTTAAAAAATGATTAACATATATATCTGTTCACATAGTAATTAACAACACAGATCCATTATTTGCCTAATAAAAGGTAGTTACAGGATAATATGAGCTCTATTAATTATTGTTAAAGACTGATGAAGAGATACAATGCAATTTCTACTTTTCTAAATAGATAATACCACATAGTAGAGCGTATGTCCCATATAGTCCCCTAAGTTAGACTTCAATTTCTATCTATTGCAACATGTCTGTTCAACACAGGCAAATAGAAGCCAAGGTGAAAGAACCCGGAAATAAAGAGAGTTCCCAAAATATACAACTCTTACTGTAGTTGTGTTCAATCTACGAGTTGTTTGATCTTCTTCCACAACTGCAGGAACTTTTTGTTCAACTTTCAGAGGTTTGTTGCCAGTGGAGACATCAACACTAAAGAGGCTGTGCTCATTAATACAGCCATAGTCACGATAGGACCCAACTCCCTGCAGGTTTTCTAATGTGGTATCATCTAAGAAATAAATAAAAAATAATTACACAGATTATTCTCAAGTGCAAACCCACACTACAAATAAGCCCTACCAGGGAAAGCTGTGGTAAACAATCACCAAAGTCTAGAACTGGAGTGATTTTGAATTGACATAGGAATTAAGCTAGTAAGCAATGATTCAGCCAGATCTATCTATCTATCTATCTATCTATCTATCTATCTATCTATCTATC